TTTCAACCTCAAATTATCAAGCAAAACATGTTCATATTAAGTGCAAATAGTAAAGGAAAGCAAGATGGCCGAATTTAGCAATATGTGCAAGGATATAAATCACACATGAATGGTTAATTATCAAGGAACATGCTAGGACTAATTAGCATGCATGATTGACTCTCTAAAGCACTCTAAACCCCACGGCCATTTTAACAAACACAAGGCATACATATCATATTTTGATAATGAAAGTGTTTACCATTAATGTGAGGAACCACAATCACATTATAATCCATACAATTTCTTGCAATTAACCCTATGTCAGGGCTGCCGTAATCGACATAAGTGGTGTGTGTTAACTTGAGTTTAGGAACTCAAATGATGCTTGAATTCGGAGGATTAATGGTTGGATTTAAGAGTTCATTTTTGGGGTTTCGGGAAAATTGGGAAAAATGGTGATTTTGATGCGTTTGATGGTTGCATGTTGAAATAAAACTTGTTTTTGAGTCGTATGATATAAATGTATTTCATGTGTTTGATTGGGTTGATTTTCAAGTTTTTGGTTGAAATTTTCAAAGTTTTTGGGTTGGCTGTTTTAGGTTGTGCCAGGCGCAGTTCTTGGCAGCGGGCGTGCATTCATCAGAGACCAAAATTGCTTTTCACGTCGGGCGCGAGGCTAGTCGCGCTGGGCGCGATTTGAAATGGGAATTCCTGGGTGAATCACGCCGGGCGTGGGGAGAACCATGTCGGGCGCACTATCAGACGTGGGTCTTGTGTTTTGTTACTGATATGGCGCCGGGCGTGATTTGAGCACGCTAGATAGATGCCTCCCACTCCTATAAATACCCTAGGCACCACACCTTGTAAATACTTTGGAAATTGACTATAAAGAGAGCATTTTGCCTTTATATCATCCTTAGTCACCTTGGCTATTTTCGGCCACCTCCCATCCTATCTCCACCTTGAGAGCAAAACCCTAGAAGTGTATTTTATTTCTTACCACTACATCAACTTTAATAATTATGTTATTTTGCCTTTTAAATTTATATATAAAGTCAATTTAAATTATCTTTGTATTAATTTTTTTATAAAAATAAATTTTATTAAAATTATTTATTTTAATTCAATAAGTCGTTGATACAAAAGTTCTGAATGTAGGAAGAATCATGTCTACATTCCTTCAAAATGGCTCTCATCTAACTGTTTAAGAAACAATTTTGGTTAAAAGTATTTACCACTTGTTTGAAGTCTGATTTGAAAATGACATGTGATAAATTTATCCCCAACACCCGTTTTATTTATTACTTCATGTAATGGAACTTCAACTACATTGGGTGAGAATCCTCCTGACCAACCTATTTTTTCATATTTAAAATTTTCGTTGTGGTTACGAATACAAGCAACAAAACTATGTTAAAATGTGTCAATGAACAAGGCAGCATCTAAATTGCATTTAAAATTGCCACTCTATGGTATCCTAGCTGGTACTAACATTTATTATTGATGAAGAATGGTTAACATGATTGCATTTAGATTTAGCCAATTTCCATTCACGAAAATCTCGTGAAGCAAAATTACAAGAGACAAGAATTGGTTTTTGCAAATTCTTTTCACACATGCTCATCACTTCTCTGCCAAATTGTCCAAAGCATACATACAAATACTATAATGTTGTCAAACTTGCAAGCATATTCACAAACAATAAAAATATACCAATATTAGTTTCAACATCATTCTCACAAAAAGAACACGTTAAAGATATTGCACATCCTCCAAGTATAATTTGCTCCTGCTTGGAAGACAATCCTTAATCACTCTTCACGTCAACAAATTCATCTTTTGTGAAAATTTTAAATTCCAATTTTCATCAAATCACCATGTTCATGCAAAGATTCATCACCAGTCACCAGTCATATATTCCATTATACGATACTATGCCGATTTGACCAAAAAAGTTATCATTTTTACTATGCTTCGAAATCAAAACATCATATCTAATGGCATTAATTATTGGAAAAAAACTCAAGTCCCACATCGCCTAGAGATTAAGCAATTAAATAATATATAAGTGAAAAACAACCCTCACCTTACAAGCCAGTTTTATAGGGTTGAGTTAGGCTTAAATCTACTATTCTAAGATGGTATCAGAGCTATCCTAGATTCTTAAAAATGGGTCACCCACCATTGATACATGCACCATGGGCATGAGGGGGGGTGTATTCAAGTCCCGAAAAAAAAAGGGCCACCTGTAACA